GCGGGGTGTCGAATCCAGGTACCAGGGATTGAACTCAGGGCACTCGACCACTGGGCCATATCCCCAACCCTATTTTGTGTTTTATTTAGAGACAGGGTCTCACTGAGTTGCTTAGCGCCTGGCTGTTGCTCAGGCTGGCTTTGAACTAGCAATTCTCCTGTCTCAGCCTCCGCAGCCGCTGGGATTACAGGCATGCCCCACCCCGCTCAGCTCGATTGCTTGATTCTTAATCGTGGGTTTCCAACCGCTCCCAGGTTCCATTTTTCGTTAAAGAAACCAAGAGGGACCAATAATGAACCGAAAACTAGCCAAGATTCACTATTGCACCTATTCCCCGGGTCTCTCACCCACTCAAGTTTAGGGAGGGGGCGGGGTGGGGTCAGCCACTAGCATCTCAATTCCGTGCAACAGCCCCCAAGCGACCCGTCTCGCCGCACCGGGTCCGCTGCGTCTGACCCAACCCTACTCCTCCAAGCGCCCCTTTCTGCTTTAACCCCTGACTGCCCTCTTCCCACACCCGCAGTGACGCCCCTTCCGCTGAATTTGTTTCGCCTTCTTGCAGCGCCTGCGCGCTGTCACATTAAGGCGGAACTAAACTGGCGACGCCTGCGCTTTGACGCATTTGGTGCTGGGGAAGGGAAAGGTGGGACTGCAGAATGCGTCACACCCGGAAGTGGAGAGCCGGAAGTGGGGTTGGACAGGTTATCCCCACGGGTGGGGAAACGGAGGCCCTGGAGGAGGGGGAAAAAAGGAGGCCGAGGATCCTTGCTACTAACCTGAATCGGATACCGATTCTCTTAGAACCCAGAGACACAGAAAAAGGGAAGGGTGTATCATTCCCCTTCCTCCCCTCCTCCTTTTCCTCAGCCTTAGCCATGGCCGAGGCAGGGGCCGGGCTGAGTGAGACCGTCACTGAGACAACGGTTACCGTGACAACCGAGCCCGTGAGAAAGGCGGGGGGCGGTGCTCTTTAGGGGTCTGGGAGATACCGGGAGGGAGGGCACAGGGCTTTCGAAAGGTGAAGGAGMGACTGGGCATGGGAATCTGGGAGGTCTGGGATTGAGTATCTGAGGTTGAGAGAATCGCAAGGGATTGGGGATATTTGGAGTGACAGAGATGGTGCAGGAGGCTGTTGCAGAGACATGCAGTAGGACGTCATAGTTGGGATATAGGTGTTGCTGCTTGGGGTAGTGGTTTGTAATAAAGCGTATAAATAATAAAAAGGAAATTGTGAATTAAGGAACAAGAAAAGTGCTGGGAGGAAATGAAAGGTCAATGTAAGAAAGTATGGTTGAAAGCCAGCTGTAGGGGTATTTAACCAGAAGCATGCTTATTAATACATAGCTATTAAGTGCATGAGTATAAAAGGAAATAGAGGAAATGAAGAAGATGAAGGTAGTATTTTCAGAAATCAGAGGGGAGGATGTGAGTGGGAAAACAAGTAGTATATTTGCAAGAACAAGTTGCTTTCAAAGGAAGATAATTGCACTGGGTTTAATCTCCAAATTAAGGGAGTTAGTAATAATTGTTATTAAGGAYGAGAGGAAATAGGTGGATAAGAGATGGGGAAGGTGGGCTTGGGAATGAGTGAGGTAAGAATGAATGAAGTTCCTCCTTCAATGGGAAAAGGAATAGGGGAATCTGGAGAAAAAAGACCAAAGATTAGTCACTGGGGACTGAAAGTAATTTTTATGTACTAATACCACCAAGGATGATATGGGCAGAAAGAGAAGCAACAAGGATTGTATTTTCCTTTGAAGATTTGCTGGGATCTTCCCTAGGTTAGAAATTGTGTCTTTTTTGTATACTGATGGTTATTGAGAACAGGAAATTATATCCATTAAGGATGCCCTGAGGGCAAAGACCTGTTCTATTTTATTTTCTTCCAGTACTTGGCTCCTCTGGTGCTATATCTGTGGAACTGATTGAGCTAGGGAAGAAAAGAAAGGAGATCCTCTGGGAGGGAATAGGAAGTCAGTAGGAGACTAATATGTATGCTCATGCCTCTCAACCTTAGGAGAACCGGAGTCTAACTATCAAACTTCGGAAAAGGAAGCCAGAAAAAAAAGTGGAATGGACGAGTGACACAGTAGATAATGAACACATGGGACGCCGTTCATCAAAATGTGAGTTATTGTGGGCTCAGAGGAACCCTAGAGTTTAGATTTCTTCCTGTATATCTACCTTCTAACATCCACTGGCCCCAGATGCTCACAATTCTGTCACTTTCTTGGTGATTCTTTTGGTGGTTCTCAGGGAAAAGAGGTTAAAGTTAGAAGGAAAAAGGTAGGAAGGGGCTAGAACAGTGATATATCAAGGTCTGATGGCAAGAGGTATAAGAAGTAGGAGTAGTAGGGTTTCAGATTCTTGTCTGTCTAAAGGGGCCAGGGGCAGTGGGGTGCACCTGTTATCCTAGCAACTCAGGAGATTGAGAGGCAGGAGGGTTATAAGTTTGAGGACAATCTCTATAACTTTAAGTAAAACCCTGTTTCAAAAAAAAAAAAAGGACTKGGGATGCAGTTCAGTGATAGAATCTCCCTGGGTTCGGTCCCCAGTACCCCCAAAATAAAAGGGGTTAGTGCCTGAGTCCCAGGGAATGGGCCTGGGAAAACTGTATCCTAGAAGGTAGGAGGAAACAGGTGGAAGTAGGAATTTTCAGAGATCCAGTAGGAATGGCACTGATTGAACATCTTATTCTTCCTTCTTTTTAACTGAGCTCCTCCCTCCAAATCCAGGCTGCTGTATTTATGAGAAACCTCGGGCCTTTGGTGAGAGCTCCACCGAGAGTGAGGACGAGGACGAGGAAGGCTGTGGTCATTCACACTGTGTTCGGGGCCACCGMAAAGGACGGAGTCATGCAACCCCAGGACCSACCCCTACTACCCCTCCTCAGCCTCCAGACCCCTCCCAGCCCCCTCCAGGGCCAATGCAGCACTAAATTTCTCTTTCCCCCATCATTCCTGTGTCTGTCTGGCCCTGAATGTATCCATGTGGCTACCTGGGGGCTAAATCCATGGTTTGATTTCTTCTTCAGCCCCCCTCCTTCCCTTTTCTTTGCCTCATAGAGGGAAGAAGTAGAGGARGGTGGACAGAGATCCTGGAATTCTGACTTGCTGCTATTCCAGAACCCAGTCTTCTGGGTTCTTCCAGCCCTCATTTCTCTTTCCAGTCCCATCCTTACCAGGGATCTAGGCATCTTGGACCCGGTCTCTTTCCTTTGTTCTTACTGCCAAACTGCCTGTCCTGGGATCCAGTTATCTTGGCCCCTCGCACCCTCAATTTGAGTCCCAAACACTTAAACTGGGTTTTCAGTAGTCCCAGCTTTCACTGCCAGGGTCCCAGTCAGATTCCAGGCATCTCACCCCAGCTGTGCTTGTTAATCTTGGCTTAGAGCTTTTCCACTTATGCATTTATATAATCCCTAATCTTAGTCCTTGCCTATAGGATATGAGGTCTTATGGGACACTGCAGGGCTCCCAGATTTTCCCCTCCTTCCTACCCCTTCATGCCCTCAAACRGAGTTAGAGAAAGAGGTCTTTGTCATTCTCACTTCTAAGGGAAAGTGGAACAAGAAAGTCATGTCCTCTGTCCCCACCCTTTTCATTTGATATAGGATTTTTGACAGAGATAATTTGATATTGGTCACTTGGAGCCAACTATCTTTTCAGCCTTTCATCCTTTAGCTTCAGAGCCATCCAACATATTCCAGGGGCCTAGGACCCTGGGAGAGGAAGGAAAAGGGAGAGAGCAAACAGATGTATTACACTCCTACCCCTTCCTTCCTAGGCTTTGATGCGTCTGCCAACCCAGATATCCAGCTCTCTCAGCCCTCCCCCACCCTTCACTGGGACCTGGTTATCATTTTCCAGGTCTCTTGCCATGCACAGTTGCAGAGATCAGTCAAATCCATATCAGCACTGAGATCTCATTTATTGCCACAGATGCACAAAATAAATAACCCAACATCACAAAATGTGTTAAATACGGGCCCATTTATACATGGGGTGGAATGATGTGAGACTATGTATAAGGATGCATTTGGGGATGTCTGGGTGTCTCCCAGGTTGAGGAAAAGAGGGGTAGCACCATTCATTCTTTKTTGTGAGTATGTGCAGGGGAAAATTTTACAAAGGGTTTTAATAGGCAAAATTTGGGGGCACAGAAAGCAGTCACAAAAGGAAGGTAGAATAGAACTGGCTTACACTCCCCTCCCCAGTCCTGAAAGAAAGTGGGTGTGCTATTAAGCTTCCTAGAGGTCCCTAGGGCCTAACCAGCCTCAAGCTTCTTGTTTTAGGAAAAGGCTTTTTCTCTCGAGGAGAAACCTCAAAATGGACAGGACCAGGAAGCACAAGCCTTCCAACAGTGGAGAAGGCACTGAACCGTTTGAAGTTAAGAAAGCCAGGACCTCTGTGTAGTAAATGTGGATGGCTTACCAGTACTTAACAAGCTGAACCAATTCCACAATTGAGGCCTAGAACAGTGTAGAAAGGGAGAACTAACAGAAAGTACTGGAGTAGTGGGGTGGGGGATATTCCCCAAGAGAAAAGGGGCAGGAGCTATTGGATTTGAGGCCAGGATGTGAAAGCCTAGAGGCCTGGTAAGGTTTGTGGGGATGGGGATAATGAGAATTGGTGATKAGTGCTTATTAATACTATTGCATAGGCTTATGAACCCGTTTCAGCAACTAGAGGAAACAGCCTCAAAGTAGCTAGTCCAAACTCAGGGGCCAGGAGGGAGGCTCTCAGCCTTCTCCTGGCACAATGCGGAGCGGGGYCCGGGGATCACAAGTGCAAAGCAGAGGGAATACGCGCTCTCCCAGGGGTCCGGGCGCCTGGAAGGCGAAGAGCAAGTCCAATGAGCGGCCRTCGTAGAAGGCCACGCGGCCCCGCTCCCAATCCAAATCCACACGAATGCGCTTCGGCGGTGGTCCAGCGCCACCCAGCAGGGTGGGCTCTGGTGCGGTRAGGGCCCACAGGCGGCCGCCGCGGCCTTCCACTGCCCACACGGCCTCCGCTGGGCACAGSCTGATGCGGCCTTTGCGTTGCACCGATTCCCCGGCAGCGCCCACCGCATAGCAGCTCTCCCCGTCGTCCTCATCCTCTCCGGAAGAGTCTCCGTAAGAAGCAGCATCCGTGGTCTCCACTTCCCAGCAATGGCGGCCGGCCCCGAAGCCCTGTGCACCTAGTACTGCTGGGAGCTGATCGAAGCGCGCGGGGCCGTCCAGGGGTACAGGGGTGCCTGGTGGGGCCAGTCGGACGCTGCGACGGTCGGTGGAGATGAGCAGGCGGCGGTGTGCGGTGCCAGGGTCCAGCGTCAAGTCGGCTGGAAAGGAGGAGGCAAGGGGAGGACTATGTGAGAGGGGTTTCCAAATCCGGCGGGGTAGCGCAGAGAATAGGCAGTGGCCGGTACACAAGAGACTGTTGAAGACCCTACAAACGAAGTCAAAAGGAGGCTGCAGGACCAAAAAGGATAAAGGCTTATGAAGAGCWGGCCTGGACAGGATAGGTGCTATGCACAACTTCTGTGGAATTGGTCGTGAGGAAGGAAGGAGGCACAGCTCAAAGAGCAAAGGTTTCCCTCTGATTTGTAGTGTTAGAGAAAGGAAGGATGAGACTGACCCGACTACATGRGAAGGAATGAAGACTAATACTTCAATATGCAGCATCTGGGGTGGGGCATGGGAGCTGGGTCAGCAGGATAGGGAAGGAGGATCTAAAGAGAAAGACTGATACCTGATAGAACCCGAGAGACAAAGGGGAGGGGCAAAAAGAAGAATCCAAGGTATCCTGCAAAACCAGGYCACCCACCCACAAGCATAGGTGGGGGTGGACAGGCCCATTTCTTTGGGAGGTGTGTTGCAGAGGAGAGAGAAGGAGGTGATAGCCAAAGGGATCAGGAAAACACACACACATTGTCTTGTATGTATGGGGTGCTTTGAGGGAAGATTTCTGGATTGGGGTACTAGAAGTAATTGGATTAGGTGAGATGATGGGTGACTAAATATCTTCTCTAAGCATTTGAAAGAAGGGTGGAGAGCAAGGAAGGAAGGGGAAGGAAGAGGCTCTGTAGAGAAAAATGATATGAAGTGGTAGAAGGAGAGATTCCTGGGAGGCAGCTGACTTCCTGGGTCTGTTTGAATGTATGAAAAAGGAAGAAGAAAATGGCTGGAATATGAAGAATTGAGGACAGATACTCTTCTGGGTTAAATTGTACCCCCGCCAAAGGTATGCTGAAGACCCCAATATCTTGGAATTRACCTTATATGAAAATAGGCTTTTTACARARGTAATAAAGTTAAAATGAGACAGTTAGGGTAGGCCCTAATTTAATATGACTGCTGCTTTATAAAAAGGGAAGGAATCTGGTCACAGACAAATGCAAACAGGAGGAAGATAATGTGCTGACCATCTCTGAGCCAAGGAATTAGGCCATGAGAAGCTAGCACAGACATGAGGAACAGATTCTTCCTCAGTCCTTAGAAGAAACCAATACTTCTGACACCTTGATTTCAGATTTCTACCTCTAGAATTTAGGATAAATGTCTGTTGTGTAAGCCACAAAGATTATGGTACATTGTTATAGCAGTCCTAAGAAATAACCAYTTTTGAGAACTAAAAGGGTATAAAGTTACACAGATTCTTATTCAGTTCCCTCCCTACATTCTTCCTTACCTGTCAGTCTGTGAAGCATGTTTTTGACCACTGGATAATCATCAGGGAGATCTTCCTCTGAGTTAGACAGCTTGGGTGCTGGGGCATCAAATCTGGACAGATAAGACGAAGAGTCAGCAAATCATTAGACACTCCTCTGCTTTCTGATGYTGATTCTGAAGTCCTTACTCCTAACCCACTCAGTTCTCTGGAGCACAAATAGATGAGGCCAGCACTCCAGAAACACTGCCTATTAGTGGGGATAAAGATATGGGCCCAGTGGTAAGTGATGGCTATGACTGCTGATAGTAGAAAGGAAGAAAGAGTAAAAGTGAAACTTACCGCCTCCACGTCTTCCTAATATCCTGGGATGGGCAAAAGAAAACATGGATGTGAGCTCTGAGTTTCATACTGTGGGGAGTCCTCTCCCTCCTCCCTGCTTCTCAGGGGAACTCTAAGTGGGTGATATTCCTCCCTACCTCTCAGAGTGRTCACCTTCTTTTCCTCCTGTGCCCCCACTATTGCCTTCCCCCTCTCTATTCCACAAAGGTTCTCAATTCCCCTTCTCCAGACTATTTCTTGTCCCAAGAGACCTTACTTTCCTCATTTGCCTTCTCAGTTCCATTCTCTCTTTCACTAGTGCTATCCTTATCACCTTCCAGAGTATATCCCAGACAAATGTCCACCCCCACCCGCCATCACATGACCAAATACACACCCAGAGCCCTTGARCTAAGAGTTGGTATATAAAAGCCTTACAATAACGCTGCTTCCCATCTTGCTATAAAAGCCCAGTGGCGTTTATTGGGCCCTTCGCTTTGTGTCTCCACTGTKCCAGGGAGGCAACTGGACTTGGAGGACCTGTCCCAAGAGGCCCAATAGATCTTGCAGAGAATCATGGGAGCCAGAAGAGGGCGCTGGATCCCCTCCAAATAGTGGGACATTCCCTTCCCCCTCTTCACTGCCCAGTGAGGATGGCTGGAGCAGGCTGGTGTGGTGGCAAGGGGGGAAGAGAAGAGGAAAGGCAATTTGCCTAATTATGCCAATTACACCAAGACTAATTAGRTCTAGGAAGACTTCAAAGGGCGGAAGCGAGACCCAAGACCGGCTGGGCTGCTGGGAAGAAGCCAGCCTCAGACGCCTGGGGGTCGAGCAAGGGAATGGGGTTGGTTGGTGGCCAAGGAGTACGGGGCTAGGAGGGGGTGTGGAGGCGATAAATAAAGCTGGTGCGTGGAGAGAAGCCAGAGGCCCCAACGGCTGTTCTCCCGGACCTTGCCTCCACCTGTCGCCACCCCTGCCTGGGGATCTGGGAGGAGCTGAAAACAACAATAACAACAACACACATCTAAGGTCTGAGGAAGGGGCCCAACACTAAAGGGACTGTTGGATCTGCTCCCCCTCCTTTCTCCGTCCTTTTTGTCAGTCTCCCCCTTTCCCTCCCCTCCACTCCGCGTTTTCTCCACATTCTTCCACTCTCGACGCTCGTTCTGATATCTCTTACCATCCTCCCGGGCCTCCTATTCGCGCTAGCCGGGGTCACTTGCCCTTCTGCAAGCAGGATCTCTCCCCTCGGCCAGCTCTGCTCCTCATGGACGCTTTGGAGTCCCCGTAATTCCCGTACTCTTTGCATGGTCTCGAGGGGTCCCGTGCTCTGTAAACTACCCGCCTGTCTCTTCCTGTCCAACCTCTTCTCTCCTGCTCCTTTCACAGAATCTATCCATCCTCCTCCTCCGAACAGTGTCAATCCCTTACCATCGTGGTTCCCGGCATCTCTCACCTTGAGGACCGGGTCAGACCCCGCCTCCTTATTCTTTGCAATTCTCTCTCCAACTTCACCCTTACCTAAACTTCCACAAGGACTTTGGGGTGCCAAGTACCGTTCCCGCCTTTCCCAGGGAACTTATGAGCCCTCTCCCACCCCATTAATAGCTGGTGACCCTCGAAGGCACCTACCTCTCCGTGCGGGTCTAGGCAGCCCATGGTTGGGATACGGCCTCCTCGGCGCCTTCCCAAGCGGGCGCCGGGCTCGGCCAGCTTCTCCCGCAGCCCGCGGCTGATCCGTACCTCCACCGCCAGCCGCACATTAGACCTCAGGCTGCGGCGGGGACACGGCAGGCCGCAGCAGGGGCAGGCGGTGGGGGACCCCTCAGTGCCGGTGGGCGGCGGGTTCCCCCAGCAGCGGGCCAGGCACGCGCGACAGAAGCTGTGCTCACACGCCAGAAGCACTGGGTCCTCGAAGGGGCCCCCACAMAGCGGACACGTCGCCAGCTGCTCCAGACGCTCCACCAGCCCCGGGCCCAGCTCAGGCGCCTCCATGGGAAGCTGGGGTCTGGGAGCCACCCYCTGCGCGACCACCGCGACCGCCTACGAGCGCGCAGACGGTGGACCGCCCCTGCTGCTTGCTGACTCGATGTCCTTCTCTCTGTCTCCCGCATTAACTTTATGCCGCTTTTCTGCCTGTCTCCTGGGATTGCCTCTCACTTCAACCAGAGTCTCAGTCTTGGCGAGTCTCCCCACCACACCACGTCAGGTTTTATAGGGAGGGAGGAGGCTCCTGCGGGAGGTAAACAGCAGGCCTTGCGTAACACCTCATCAGGTTCTCCCGCTTCCCCTGGGAGGTTTTGGGGGAGGAGGTTAGGGAGGATAGGACACCTGGCTCCTAGAGCCTACGAGGTAGTCACTAGGGGGCGCTCTGGGGGCAAGGTAGCCTTGTGTGGGGAGAGTAACCCCCTGTCCCCCACTGAAGAGCCCGAATATTCCCTCTCCCTTCCCAGGCCTATGGTGTGAGGGTGGGCAGGGTGCCCAGGCTCGCTCTTGGCATGTGTGCCCACATCGCCAGGGTGTGAGTCATTGCAGGTGGCTGGCACACCTACATCTGGGGGTTGGGGGCCGGAAGCTGGGATCCTGGTTTGTGTGGCTTTAGGAAGCCTCTGAGTATTGATGTATGACAGTCATTCCCTTATCTTCCTGCCTTGCCTATTAAGGACTAAAGAACACTCTGAAGCCCACACTCCCGCCTCTAGGAGTCTGTATAATGCGCTCTCAGTTCTACTCTCAGTTCTCTCCTTCTATCTCCTGGTTCTTTCTCTACTTTTCTCTGTGTGAGTTTTTATTTCCATTTATCACTTTCCCTCCTTTGGAACTGACCCAAGGATTATCTACTGAAGCCCAGAGAGTTGGGATAGCCAAATTTACACAGCAGGAAGATCAGAAGTGGAGCCACCCAGGTTGAGGCAGGGGCTCCTCCTCTTCCTCCTCCCCCTCCTCCTCCCCCTCCTCCTTCTCCTCCTCCTCTTCCTCCTTTTTTCTTTTTCTTTTTTCTTCCTTCTTATTTTACCTTTCATCTTCTTCAGCTGCAGATCCCTGGAACTCCCTTCTGATTTCTGATTTTTTTCCCCCTTGATCTTTTCTTGTGTCTTCTTGCCTCACCTTTAGCGCTCTCTCTCTCTCTCTTCTTCCTTCCGTTTCTTCCTCCCTCTTCTCTTTTTCTTCCTGCTCTCTCCTCTTCCTAGCTTCTATGGCTCTCTCATGCAAGACCTTTCTTCCTGGATACCCTTCCTGGATACCCTTGGAGGTTGTGAATGAGTAAATATCTGTGATATATACATCTGTGATCATGCACTGTTATACAACATGTGTGTGCATTCACTGATGTTCAAATGCCCAAATGTGCACAAACTTATTGACATAGATATATGTATAGTCCAAACATCACAGATATACATTAAATAGCACCAGGGTGAACACCCAGGATTATTTAGAGACAGAGGGGCATACTCAAAACATGCAAAGAGACACTCTGTTATTAGTTTTATTGTCAATAATAGCAACAATACAACAGCAGCAAGTCTTTGTGGAGCAGCAGCGCTTTATTAGACACCCCCTCCAGGCACCCTTCTTCCTCCTCCCCCATACCTATTAGGGAGATACTCAAATATGACACCATGATAAACAAACCTACACAAACAAACACATGCACATTCATTTTGGAATAATTCTCCTAGCTCAATGCTCATATAAGACATAGATAAAACTTGACCAAAAGACTATAGATATGATTGAAATCCATTTGTGAAAGATATACTGCTATGCTACAATAGGTAGAATAATGGTCCTCCAAAGATGCCATGTCCTAATTCCTGGAAACTGTGAATGCTACCTTATATGGCAAAGGAGAATTAATTTTCAGATGGGACTGTGTTTGATAAACAGTTGAAGTTAAAGTAGGGAGGCTATTCGAGAATATCCAGGTGGGTCTACAGCAATCATAAAGGTCCTTAAAAGTAGAAGGTGGAATCAGAAAGAAGGACCAGGAAGATAGCAGCATGAGAAATACTTGGCCAGGGCTGAGGCTGTAGCTCAGTGGTAGAGTGCTTGCCTAGCACATGTGAGGCACTGGGTTTTATCCTCAGCACCACATGAAAATAAATAAAATAAAGTCATGCTGCCCATCAACAACTACAGATAAAATAATAAAAAAGTCCCTGGCCTGATGTTGCTAGCTTTTAAGATTGAGGAAGGGATCCAGGAGCTAAAAAAGTGGGTGGCCTTTAGAATTTGCAAAAGCCCAGGGAATGGCTTCTCTACTAGAGCATTCCAAAGGAATGGAGTCCTGCTGACACCTTGATTTTACCCCAATAAGACCCTTTCCAGACTTGTGAATTACAGAATTATGAGATAATTAATGTATGTTGTGTCAAGCCAGTGTTTGTGGTAATTTGTTACAGCAGCATTAGGAAACTAATTCATGTTTGACATTTCTCCCTCAGCCTCTGACCTTTCTGGGCCTGTCTGTACTTGTCTGCTTTTATGCCTCCAAATATGTCCCATTTCTTGATTCTGCTGTCTCTCTTGGCCTTTTTGTCAATCCCCTTTAGTCTCTTTTCCTTTAGATTACTCCATTTTCCTGGCTCCATCCCCACCTTCAAAGCCTCTTAGACAATGAGTTCTTTCTGGATCTGGGCCTAGACACTGGGAAAATGCCTCTTTGGGAAACTTGTATCTACTATCACCAATCCAAGTGACTTGCCATGGCCCTCAAAGTCTTGCCAATGGTTAAACACCTTGGTGGCACCTTAGAATCATCTGAGAAACTTTTAAACTTCTAATGTCCAGGTGATAACCCAAACCAATTAAACAGAACCTCCTGTGATGGGCCCCAAGTATCCATAGTTTAAAAGCTCTCCAGGTGGTTCCAGTGTTTAGCCAAGGGGAAACCATTGTATTGCAGGATGGGATGTGTAGGTGGACCTGCTCCTCCCATTTCATTCTTTGTGCTCTAGCTGCAGTGCCTTGTATTTTCTGTTCCTTGAGCATGCCAAGGCTGATCTCATAGCACAGCCTTTGCTTTCTTTCTGCCTGGGCCCTCCTCCTCCAGAGCTTCACATGGCTCTTTATCTTCTCATTGTAGTCTCAATCCAAAGGTAACATATTTTTGAGAGAATTTTTTCTTTTCTTTCAGTACTAGAGTATTGAACCAGGGCTTTGTGCATGCTAAGTGAGCCCTCTACCATTAACCCTTACCCTCAGTCCCCCAAGAGGACTTCTTTACCACTTACATCTCAAGTAGTTTTGCTCAAAGGCATTCACTATCTCTTTACTCAGACTTCTTGTCTTCACAACATTTCTGAGTGCCTACAATGGTCTATTTATTATTTCCATCCAACAGACAGTAAGCAGTATAGGAATAGGAACCTAACATTCACCTTCACTGCTGCTTGACATGCACAGGGAACAGTGCCTGGCATGGTGTCCTGGTAAACCTAGTCTCAGTTTTTTAATTATTCATCACTGATTGAGCAAAGTGAGAGGATCCTTTGACTCTGCTGACACCCTCTAAATTCCAGACAAGGACATTCTTATCCTTTTCAATCAATAGTCTTTCCTCATTGAGCATGGTTGCACAAGCCTATAATACCAGTGACTCTGGAGGCTGAGGCAGAAGGATCTCAAATTGGAGGCCAGATTCAGCAACTTAGCAAGTCTCGAAGAAACTTAGCAAGAACCTGTCTCAAAATAAAAAGGGCTGGGGATGTGGCTCAGCAGTGAAGTACCCCTGGATTCAATCCCCAGTACAATCATCATCATCATCATCATCATCATCATCATCATCATCATCATCATCTTTTCTTACTGGCCAGTGCCAGGCATGGTGCTTATAGAATGCTCATGTGATATGAGACATGGTGCTCAGTCTGACTGAAGAAGCTCATGACTAGTTGTCATTTCCCTTCTATAACTAGATGATGAAGATTCTACACCCTGGTTATCATGAGTTCATAACTAATGGTTCTAGGACACTGGTAAGGGAAAAGGCATTTGGAGACAGACTCTGCCAGGAAATATCTCACTTCTCAAAACCTTCTCCCTCCCTCTCCAGACTCCCTAACAACTCTACACTTGATCCTCCAATATCCATTTGAGTTCATTCTTTCTGCAGAGAGCAGAAAGGGTGGTGGTGATTTTATGTATGCTGGCTTGGCTTGGCTTGCTCTGGCTGATTGGGAATGGATCCTGCCTCTCTGTTAACATACACATCTCCTTCCTTAATATAGGTTCCTCCCACATAACCATTCTCACCCCTTTCCACCTTCTTCATACCCACACTTGACACTGGGGAACATCAGAGGTGGGACAGGCCTTAGTCCCTCCCTTTCTTTTTTTTCCCCCATTCTCTTTTCTTTGTTCTCTTCTCTCCTTTCATTTCCTTCTTTCTCCTTTCATTTTCTTCTCTCCTGTCTATCTCTGCTCCACCATCAGTAACATGCTGTCCTTTTAAGTAGTCCACAAGTCTTTAAGCCTTCAAGTGAGAGAGGTAGAAAAAAGTGGAGAGGGGTATGAGGAAGGTTTTGTCAGAACAGTCATGGTCCCTGCCCTTAAGAAAGTGTGATAAGACAGGTAAAGTGTATCCATCATCAACTAAAATCTGTCATTACTAAATTAGGGAGTGGAATAAAGCAGATAAGGTGCATTCATCACTGAATGCACTGAGAGGCGAAGATGGAGAATTCTGTTGACAGGATGGAGTATGAGTGGGAATGATTTCAGAAAGGCATCCTGGAGGAGGTGACCTATAAAAGGAAAGGAGAGTTGGTTGAGCTGAGTGACAGAGAAATGAAAGAAGCCTGAGCAAAGAATGGGAAGGATTTGGGAGGGAGAAAGCTTCAAGTGGGAAAGAAGACCCAGCAGGTAATAAGCACAAGTGAAGGAGACCACAATTCTTTTTCAGTTCTCACTTGTTAAGTCATTTGCAAAGATTTTATTAAATTTTGATTGTTTCTATATTTACCTATTTTTTTTTTTAGACTCCACAGTTTACAATGTGCTTTAACATAACTGAAAGTTCTCTTACCACAGGGCAATTTTTCTAAATAACTGCTCCAAGGATTCTGGGTAAAACATCCCTGATGCAAGAACAAGAATGGGGTGGAATTAAGGTAGAAGATTCACAGATCAATCCCATCAGTCCTGATGCTCAACAACGTGACCTGTGTTGTTACAGGAATGTCATCCTCAC